ATTAGTGAGATTGTGGGTGATGTGATGATGATCAAGAATTTTATTTGTAATCATTCCATGAGGTTGACAGTGTGCAATGAGTTTGTGAGTTTGAAGCTTCTTTCAGTTGCCGAGACACGCTTTGCTTCTTCCTTAAGAGGGTAAAGTTGATAAAGCAAGGTCTCCAAACAATGGTAATTAGTGACAAATGGAGTTGTTATAGGGATGATGACATTGGTAAGGCCAAGTTTGTGAAGGATAAGTTGTTGGATGACTTTTGGTGGGATCAAGTCAACTACATACTTTTCTTTACTACTCCTATTTATGACATGATTAGAGTTTGTGACATCGATAGACCTTCTCTTCACTTAGTATATGACATGTGGGATACAATGATAGAAAAAGTGAAGATGGTGATATATAAGCATGAAGGAAAGTGACTAGAAGACGAGTCTACATTCTGTAATGTAGTACATCAGATTCTTGTAGACCGGTGGAACAAGAACAACACACCACTTCATTGCTTGGCATACTCATTGAATCCAAGGTGATTACAACACAATTTACTATTTTTATTGACTTAAGTTTAATATTATTCTTTGACATTTATAATGAGTAGTACTTTTTATTTCATTTTAGGTATTATAGTGATATGTGGCTTCATGAGGATCCAAGTCGAGTTCCCTCACATAGGGATGAGGAGGTTTGTCTTGAGAGAAAAAAGTGCTTGAAAAGGTTCTTTGATGATCCAATGGAGCGCACTAAAACAAATTTGGAGTATGCTAAGTTCTCAACCAAAGAGGGGCCATTTGCTGACATTGATTCCATTGGTGATAGATGTGATTTGGATCCTCATAGTTGGTGGGTTGTTCATGGTGCATCTGCACCCACTCTTCAATCTTTGGCTTTAAGGCTACTTGTGCAACCTTCTTCTTCATCATGTGCTTAGAAGAATTGGAGTATATACTCTTTTATCCATTCAATGAGAAGAAACAAGATGACACCCCAACATGTAGAGGACTTGGTTTTTGTTCATAGCAACCTCCGTCTTTTATCAAGGAGAACCCCATAAAACCTTGAAGGAGAGACCAAGTTATGGGATATTGCGGGCCACACATTTGATTCATTTGATGATGTTGGGATGCTTGAGGTTGTAAATCTGTCACTTGATGAACCTGAGATGGAGGTTGTGTTGTTTACAGATGATGGAGGTGCAAACGAAGAAAAAGGTGGTGATGCTAATGATGATGAAGACGTGCAAGAAATTGGATCTACTTGAAGCTTTGAAAGGCCTACTTTTTTTCTTTTCTTTTCTTTTCTTTTTCCCCTTCTTCTTTGCCTCTTATTTAGTGCTTTTGTGAAGAATATTGTTGGATGTTGGATGTTTTCCCCTTATATTTTTTGTTGGATGTTGGATGTTGGATGTTGAATCTTTTGCCTCTTATATTTATTGAATTAATGGTACTATGTTAGTGTTTGTTAATTTTGATTTAGAATGAATGTAATATGAATCTACATAACGCATAAAAATATATAATAAAAAAAAAAATCTCCGTGTCCCCCGCCGTGTCCTTGTCCGTGTCCCCCATTTTTTGGAAATTGCCGTGTCTCATGTCCATATCCGTGTCCGTGTCCGTGTTCGTGCTTCATAGTGGGAGAGACACCTACCATTGATTGAATTCGCCTATAACAATAGTTATCAAGCAAGTGTTGGGATGACACCGTTTGAGGCATTGTATGGCCGACTGTGTAGATCACCGGTTTGTTGGGCCAAAGTGGGTGACGCACCGTTGTTGGGTCCGGAGTTAGTTCGAGAGACTATTGAGAAAGTTGCTCTTATTCGAAAGAGGTTAGTTACGGCTCAAAGTCGACAGAAGAGTTATGCCGATAAGAGAAGACAACCTCTATCCTTTGAGGTTGGTGACCATGTATTTCTTAAGATTTTGCCGCACCAGGGTTTGATGAGATTTGGGAAGAGTGGAAAATTGTCTCCAAGGTTTATTGGACCTTTTGAAATTTTAGAGCGAATTGGGAAAGTGACATACCGTTTGGCTTTTACCGCCACAACTTTCGGGAGTTCATGACGTATTCCATATATCTATGCTTAGGAAGGATGAACCCGACCTTCTCATATACTTGATTGGATTGGCTTGGAGGTAGATGAGGATGCCTCATACGAAGAATGACCGGTCCAAATATTAGACACTTGAGAACAAGTGTTATTGGGGTAAGACTACCATTAGTGAAGGTGTTGTGGAGACACCATGGGTTTAAGGAAGCAACGTGGGAATGGGAGGCGGAAGTCCGCTCTAAGTGTGCGGATTTATTTGAGAACGCTTAAATTTTTCTAAATCGTAAAATTCTCATGGTGTTTGAAAACGGAAGTATTTGAATTGCTAACTACTTGTTATTACAATTATTGTTGTTTTCAAGCATGGAAATTGTTGCAAGGTTTCCCCAATTGTTGCTGAACCTCGTGCTTGTGATTATTGTTTTGTTTTGGTTTGGTTTGGTATGGTGGCTACGACCCAAGGAAAAACTATGATGTTAGCAATGAAATAGCTGTGATTTTGAAAATATGGAGATTTTTGTTTAAATTTCATGTTATTGGGTATGGTTATGATTGTTGAGTAAATTATAGGATGAATATTATCATTTGTTATACCATCGGGTTACTTTGCTGTTTTTTGGGTTATTGAGGCTTTGGAGTTTCTTTTTGAGTGGTCTCTAAATTTTGGGGACGAAATTTCTTAAGGTGGGGAGGTTGTGATGCCCGGGTATATAACCCACCTTTCTTTAATTGTGATTATCTTGCTCGTGTTGGGAGTGTCGAGATTTCATCCGAGGCTTTATCCTCATCTTTATTTCATTTTGGAGTTGAGTTCTGCTTGTTTTGGAAAGCGTGAAATTGGATCAGGGGTGTCTCGGGTTCAGCTAGTGCAATTTTTGGACAGTACTGGACGTGCGGGGGTTGCACATGCAAAAGTGGGGCCTCACGTGCAGTGAGGTGAGGCCGTTTATGGTTCAACACTGCTTTAAATGCACGAGCGGAGGGCAGGTGCGAAAAGTGAGCCGCATGTGCGTGTGCCACCCGCACATGCGAGAATGCGTTGTCTAAAAATTCTCTTTTTCTTTTCTTGGGCTGAGCACCCACCTCACTCTTCTCTCATCTCTATCCTTCAAACACATTTCTCGTCCTCCGCTCTACATTACTCCCACCAAATCACATTAATCCTTTGATTTCTCAAAATTCATTAGAGCTTTGATCCTAGTTCCTTCATTAAAATTGGAAAACTCCTTGAGGGCTACGTTTTGTGCAGTGGATATCGGATTTCAACACCGTCAAATTTGGGGGTTTTCTTCTCTCTTCTTCTTTAAGCTTAAGGTAAGAGTTGTATCTACATTTTTGCAAGTTTATGTGATTTTGGAACTTCTTCTTGTAGTAATGAATCTTGATTTTTGGGCTCACAAGTTCTTGATGATTTAAAAAAAAAATATGGGTTTTCTCAATATTTGCTAAAAACTCTTGAGGGTATGAATTATATTGTTAAGAAGGAATGTTGTCTTGGAAAAGTCCTTTCAAAAATGACGAAAAAACCCAGTTTTGTGAAAACCCAGTTTTGTGAAAACCCTGGAGATTGGGGATTTTTGGGAAAATGGTAAGATGTGATGAAATCTATGTTTGTCAAGTATTATGATGAATATATAATTGAGAAATTCCTATAATTGTGTATGAAGAGGAAATTCCAAAGAAGAATGAGAAATGGTTAATATTGAAGGTAGTTGTATGGCTTATTTTTGATTGGTCTTGAAATGATCAAGTGGGAAAAATAGAGATTAACATGTGGAGAAAGCATGTAATGTGGTACTATTATTTATCTCTCGGTAGATTTATTTGTGAAATTATCTTGAGAAGAACTATGGAAATTTTTATCACAATGGTAGATTGTGTGGTGGAAATTGAAAATGGAAACATATTATAATGCATTGATACATGTTGCATTGACATCCCATCTCATTTGGTTGTTATGAATTTCGAATTGGAAATTGAAAATTATTGCATTGAGAAAGGAATTGTTTTGTGAAACAGGAACATATTGAATTGGTTGGGGGTAAATATGTTGATAAATCCAGATAGGGGGTGTAGATTGGTATTGGTTAAGTTGGCTTGAGTGTCCATAGTGAAAGACCGAAAACACATGCGGAGGAGGTACCATGTGCCTTCCGGTGAGAGACCAGTAAAGTGGAGATTGGTAGTGCTTGTTCTGTCTACTTGCAGACACCAACTTAGGGATTACCTGTGTCATATTTACCACCCTTTGAAAATTACATTGAATTTGTCGGGTCATTGTGTTATCAAATTGGCATTATGCACAAGATTTCCCCCCCCCTTTCCCCAGAAGGCAAAAGTACGTATTTTGAGCATGACATGGCATTTGCTTTCATCTCTAGAGATTATGTAAAAATGTATATACTTTGTTAAGAATTTTCTACTGGGTTTTGTGCTTACCCTAGTGGATTTTGTGCAGGGAAAGATGTAGTGATTTTGTCAAATTGAAGGCGTGAAGTGTTTTGAGGGCATATGGCCCTTGTTTTGTTGTTGTTTTGGATAAGCCGAGGGCTTTAAATGTATGAGTTTCGATAACCAATTTTGTGTAACTGGGCATAAGCCTTGGAACTTTTAGCCTTGAGGGCATTTATTTGTAATTGACTTGTAGTGCTACATGCTATAGATTCATATTCTTAAAATGTTGAATGTGTAGTTGCATGTGGAACACTTCTGATAAATCTCCGGAATGAATTGAGTACACATCTTAGAGATTTAATGAGGATGTAATGGATGAAACAGTTTTTTTTTTTAATTATATTTAAGTATGTTATGGGAGTTACTACTTTTGGATTAAGTTCTTGATGATAGATAAATATGAACCCTTGGAATCAAAATTACTTGGGGGCGTTACATAATTCTTTGATCTCTAGAATTACCAACTGATAAACAATTTTTTTGCTTGGCTATGCAGTTGAGGAACTTGGTATGGGCTACTTCAAAGCATGATGTTTACCTTATGTCACATTTTTTGGTCGTTCATTGGTCTTCATTAACTTGCGACAAGACTGAGGTTCTCAATGTTTCAGGACACGTGGCACCATGTGAGGTGAGTTCTTATGACTCTCTCTCTCTCTCTCTCTCTCTCCATGTGTGTTTTTGTAAAAAAAATCAACTCTGTATTACTTGTATTTTGGTCTGCTATGAAATTAATCATGTCTTCATCCAATACAGAAGCATCCTGGAAGCCTGTTGGAAGGATTTACACAGACGCAAGTTAGCACACTTGCCGTAAAAGATAATTTGCTGGTTGCTGGAGGATTTCAGGGAGAACTTATTTGCAAGGTTGGTTAGTGGACTTTGTTCATCTGGTGTTTGTTGAAAAAGAAAGAGATAAGGGAAGCTACACCCGTTTAGCTTCAGACAGTCTCTTGGTGCACTTGTGATAGCACTTGAAGGATGAAAGTTGTTTCTTTTCAGCTTGGCCACTAGCTTTATTAGTCTAACTTCCTTCCTACTTCAAACTTATCTTCTAACTGGCCTGACATGTGTTCTCTGTGAAGACTACAGTGACCCTTTAAATCCTATGAATTCTATTATTTGTGGACTCTTCAGGGTTGCTAGCAGTCAAGAGAACTTTGTCAGGATGATATATAAATATAAAATCATTGAGATTGAGGGGTTGTTAGGTGTCTAATAATTTTTTTTTGTTGTTGTTGTTACACTGTTGCTGTTGTTTCTGTGCAAGTCTGAACACGAAAAGGCTGAGGAATTCTGCCCTTTTTTTTATTTCAGTATTTAGATAGACCGGGTGTTTGCTTCTGCACCAGGACCACTTATGATGATAATGCAATTACTAACGCTGTTGAGATCTACACTACTCCAAGGTATTTGTTTTTATCCTTCGTGCTGGTGTTGGGACTATTCACTTGCGATCACAAACCTTACTGAGGTTGTGCTTTGTATTTTCCAGTGGCGCTATTCATTTCACAGCTTCAAATAATGACTGCGGGGTTAGAGACTTTGATATGGAAAAATTTCAACTTTCTAAGCATTTCCGATTCCCTTGGCCAGTGAATGTAAGCCTCTCTCTCTTTCTCTCTCAAAGTGCTGTTAAGATCTATGGTTAAAATAATAATTCCAACCTTTTGGTTATATAAGTGTTGTAGTTCATGTTCAAAATGATGAAGGCATATGATCTACAATTTCTAGTTTTGTGGCTAATGATTATCATATATGTCGCACTTTGGATGTTATGGAAAATTTTCATTTTGGCAAGGCTCTTTTCCCAGGTGGAAGAATTAAACACACACACACTGGACTCTAAGATCCCTGTGGGTCAAGTTGGAGAAATGCAGGAGAATTATGGCATTAAGGAAGCAATTTTTGTTTTTAGTTTTGTCAGTAGTCTCTGGAAGTGTAAATGTGTCAAAACTAAGAATAGGTGCATTTCTCCTTGGTTGAGTGCTTGCTCAATATGAAGAGCAGTAACCTGTGGATTTTGCGTACTAAATGTTCTCTGTTTATGTGTTGCAGCATACTTCCCAGAGTCCTGACGGTAAGCTTCTCGTAATTGTTGGAGATAACCCAGAAGGCTTATTGGTGGATTCTAAGACTGGAAAGGTTAATTTTGTGAGCAAATTATCAGTATGCATTTGTGAAGCCAGAAAAGTTGTTCTAATTTGAAAATTGATCTTTGCAGACGGTTACACAATTGGTTGGTCACTTGGATTTCTCATTTGCATCAGCATGGCACCCCGATGGCCTTACTTTTGCTACCGGGAACCAGGACAAAACGTGCCGAATTTGGGATGTCCGAAACCTATCAAAGTCTGTTGCCGCTTTGAAGGGTAATCTCGGAGCAATCCGATCAATACGCTACTCGTCTGATGGCCGGTTCATGGCAATGGCGGAGCCCGCGGATTTTGTCCACGTTTATGATGCTAAAGGTGGGTATGAGAAGGAGCAGGAGATCGATTTCTTTGGCGAGATATCAGGCATGTCTTTCAGTCCTGATACAGAATCGCTCTTCATCGGAGTATGGGATCGTACATATGGTAGCCTTCTTGAGTTTGGTCGACGAAGAAACTACTCCTACCTTGATTCTGTCATTTGAGTGTGTGATTGTGCACCCTGCAAATAAGTGTGCAAGTATGGCACATTTCCCAGTGCGACGCTGGAAACTCAGTTGCAGAAGAAGTGGGCTTGTAGGTGTAGATGTTAAATGTGTTGTGCAATGTTAGGTTGTTATTTGTGTTGTTGGGAGTGATGTCATAAGATGTTAGGGAGGGGAGGGCTGTACAGAAGGCTAGGAAGAAGCAATGGTCTTGCAAAAACAGATAAACTAGAAAACTGGTTTTCTCTCAAAAGGTATCAGAAAAGAGACTACTCTGGTTTCATGTCCTGTTTATCTGTGTGTGTCTTGGGACCCTTTAATTTGTTTTGGGAACGTATTGAATGAATTTCTTTGTTTCTGTATCTGTGCTCTTTGCATATTTGGTTGGGAGATTTGTTGAAGGATTTGAAAATTAAAAGGGAAAAAATGTGTGAAGGTTTTCTTTTTCTTTTTAAATTTTTTTTCTATATTTTTAAATCAAACACAACGTTAGAATTGAGCAAGAAGTCTTTTCATTCTGTTATGAAGTTTCTAATGAGGGGAAAATAATTGCACAGTGAGTGCAGTAAAATATATATATATATATATATATACATAATAATAGTATTTCAATTATTAAAATATATAATTTTTTTTTTTATTGTTTTTGTGCTTTATTCTTCTTTTTAGCTGCACACATTATGTATGATTATTATTATTATTATTTTAAATTTTTTTTTGTGTTTCGATGAAATTTAGTGTGCTCTTTTAATAGTCCTCTTTTTTTCTTTGTTTTGGGCGCCAATCTCTTGATTTTTTTTTTTTTAATTACAACTCTACAAACACAAAATTAATTTTATCTTCACCCCTAACCTACTTAACTTAATCCTAACCCAACCCCTCGCACCACCACCGGCTTTGACTACGTTTTCAACCCTTGTCCGCCTCTACCTGCCACTATTGTCCCTCTCCAGTCCTTTGCCTCTCTCTACCTCATCATGTCACCTTCTTTTCCTCGCCACTCTTTGGCTCATACCTTTCACAGTCCTAGTACTCTCTGCCCTTCTCTATTTCTAACATCTTCAACTTTAACCTTAACCCAAGCCCTTCCACCACCACCAATTTTGACGACCCTTCCTACAACCCCTCGTCGGCTTTTACCTACCACTATTGTCCCTTTCTAACTCTTCTCTACTTCCTTTCACCCTTCCCTGTGACCTCTTTTCCTTGTTACTCTTTAGCCCATCTCCTTCGCAGCTCTTCCTTAACACCTTTTGCCCCTCTCTATCCTTGACCTCCTTAACTTTAACCCTAACCTAGCCCCTTTCACCACTATGAGCTCCGACTATCCTTTTTAGTCCCTCTCCTCTCCTCATTTGCCCTAAACTCGCCACTATTATCTTTTCCTTCCCTTTTCCCTCATTGTCATCTCCTTTTTCTCGTCATTCTTTTGGCCTATCCCCTTCACAACCCTTCCCTATCAGTCATGTCTATTATTAAATACAATGATAACACATCAAATAGTAAACTAAATACGTTTATTATAACATATTACTTAAAATTGTCCCTTTAGTAACCTAACTAATGACAACTTACCTTTGTTAAGTAGTTTAGAGAAAACAAATGGCCAATCTAATTTTTTGTTATTGCAATTATTCATTTGTTAAAAATAACATGTAAATAACGTCATTTCGTATCTAAACAAGTAATTTTTGTATTAGAAAGCTAAAGAATTTTTGTTTCACATTTCATTTTCTTGATATACATATCTGATTATAAAATCGAATACAACTTTCTCACATAAATAAAAAAATATGTAAATTTCAAATTATATCAAATAACAATAATTTAGACCCACAAAATCCAACTTCAACCCCCACCACCCCCACACACACCCCCCCAAACTTCAACCCCCACCACCCCCACACACACGTGATGGGTGGTGATTGGAGGAGAAAAAAAAAAAGAAAAAGAACAAGAAAAAGAAAAAGTGATCAATCAAAAAAGAAAATGGGTCAAAGGGGTGAGGGGAAAGAGGTTTCAATCTTTATTTTTTATTTACGTTTGATGGCATAGCATTAAGGTAGTAAAAGGGCCAAAAATCTCTAATCCAGAAAGAACCAATAAAAAGAAGCCAACTCAACACCCAAAATCTTCTCCCTCTCATTCCCCTCCTCACAATCTACAACATCTCTTCTTCCCCAAACCACCATCAAAATAAACATCATCATCTTTCTATCTTCACTCTCCTCACACAAATCTCATCCCCAAACATACCCTCTCTCTCTCTCTCTCTCTCTCTCTCTCTCACCATGGCCTCCTCTACCCTGTTCTCACCACCCACCTTCCAAGGCCTCAGACCCACCACCAAATCCCCACTCTCCCTCACCAAATCCATATCCACCGTCAAATTCACCCCCAAAAAACGATGCAGCGGCGCCATTAAAGCCGAATTGAACACATCTCTGGTCATCAGTCTCAGCACTGGTCTGTCCCTGTTTTTGGGCAGGTTCGTGTTCTTCAATTTCCAGAGAGAGAATGTGGCCAAACAGGTTCCCGAACAGAACGGTATGACCCATTTCGAAGCTGGTGATTCTCGAGCCAAAGAGTATGTGAGTCTCCTCAAATCCAACGACCCAGTTGGGTTCAACATCGTCGATGTCTTGGCTTGGGGTTCCATTGGACACATCGTTGCTTACTATATACTTGCTACCTCTAGCAATGGATATGATCCCAAGTTCTTTGGATGAATTTGAATTTGAATTTGAATTTGAATTTGAATTTGGATTGTTGTTGGGTTGTGCTAGTAATTCATGTGCATAGGTGGGGAGGCTACAATTTTCTTGTTTGTTCTTCATTTTTCGAATTAATTTGAAGCTTTGCTGTGTTGTGTTGTGTTGTGTTGTGTTTGGTGTGTATGTGTTTGTTTTTGTTCTGCTAATGGGTTATATATCAAGACTCCATTTTCTTCTGATTTGAAGAGCTCAGTTTATTGAAAATTAAAAATTGTAGAAATTAAAAATATCTTTTCCTCAATTTTTAGATAATCAGGTTTATAATGGTGATAGTTGGTGGAGTGGTAAAAATTTGAGAATCAAATTTAAAGCCGAGTTTAAGTTATTCTAAGTTCCATTTGCTGAGTAAGGTTTTTAGTTAAAAAAATTATTATAAATTGTTACATTATTATTATTATTTTTTATATATATATATTTTTTTACAAAATATTAAAATATCAATTAAAATAATCAATTTCTAAATGATATCTAAGTGCCATTAGAAATTTGCCCGATTACTAATTTGAGAGATTATGAAATTGAGAAAATGGATGCACAAACTAGCTCAAAACACTCTTCTAATGAAATTGAGATGTTAATAAGGCCAAGTTTGGGATGTTCCAAAAAAGTCAAAAAGTTAAAAAGTTACTCAAAAAGTTAAAAAGTTAACACTATTCACCAAAAGTCAACAATTACGGCTGCACAACTCCCAATTCAAATTTTTCCCTTCAAATCAATTTTTACAATTTTTTATTACACATTTTCCAATAAAAAGTCAAAAAGTTAACCCAAACATCCATATTTTCAACCTCAATTTTTTAGTCCAAAAAGACAAAAAGTGCACTTATTTAGTCTTCCCAAACTTGGCCTTAATAGGTGGGCGCTTCTATTTGCAAACCACCTATTCTCTCAATTAACACTATTATCTCAATTTTTTTAATTATTATTATATCCTCTAATTAAATTACTTACACACCCCTCACTCTCTCTCAATTTACCATTGTCGACTGCACCTCCTCCCAACCCCACGACCGTCGGCTGCCACCTCCTCCAATCCCATCAACACCGGTTGCCACCCCTCACCTGCAATAGCATCATTTCCACCCATATCAACCCCACCACTGCCGGTTGCCATGTACCCCACTTCCACTGCCTCTCCCGTTGCCCATGACCTATCGTACCATCTTCGCTCTGCAACAACTCTCCAGCGCCTCCTTTGGCGAACCTCTCCCATTGCGACCTCTCATTCTCTTCTTCGCTTGCTCGCTCTCTTTTTCTCTCTCTTTCTCTCTTTATTCGATTGATCATTCATCGATCTTAGTCAATCGTGAGAGTTGGGAGTGGCAGTCACTAGGGCTACGGTAATGGCGAGGTGTAGTTGTGGAGATGTCAAAGTGGGGCGAAATTAAGGCAAGGAAGGGTTAAAGGAGTCTGGAGGAGGGACGGTGGCAGTCGGGATAAGTTGTGGAGGGTGGGTGAGGGCGGGAGCGGGTCGTCAGATCTGGTGGTAGCCGGGTTGGAGGTGTGAACTAGAAATAGTGTGTATTGAGGTAAATTATGGTATGTAAATTGAATCTCCCTTAATAGACATATTAATTACAAAAATAACCTTACATTTTATCATTATCTTCAAAGGAATGGTTAAAAAAGGCTTGTTAGAGATTTTAGCCAATGTAATTTTAATTTTGAGCCTCCAATGGGCTGATTGTTGGGTTAACTACTTTACCATCTTACCTTTTCCCTAGTTACAATTGAAGAGTCACAGAGGCTTTGCAAATAAATATGTATGTATATATATTTGATTTTTGTATATTTATGTCTTGGATTTTGGATTTTATATATTTTTATATATGTATATGTAGCAATTTTGCATGTTCTTTCAATTTTGTTTGATGAATTACGGAATAATTTATTTTGTATTTTGTATTTTTTTTTCTCATTCTACAAGTTTTGTATGTTTGTATGACAAATTTATTATTATTGCAAATTTACTTTAGTAAAATATTAGCAATTAGTATTTTTTGTTTTTAAAATTAGTTAAATTAGATTGAATGATTAGCTAAGATAAAGAGTGTGGTTAGAGAACGCAATAACTAAAGTAATTAGATAAAATAAAGAGTGTATTTTTTTCGTACTTTAACTTGTAAAAAGTAGAGAGTGTGGTTGAAGTTGCTCTTATATTCCAACCATTGTTATAATATGCGCGCAAAACAACACGACATTAATTAACATAACAAATTATAAAAATAAAGAAAATGTTATGGATTCTAAATAATTTAGCAAATTTTCTATCAAATCTCTTACATAGGTGTGAGACTCACACAAACTTACATGTGTGTGAATTTACACCTATTTAAAAAATTTGATAAAAAATTTAATAACTTATTTAGATCTAACATAACCGTAAAAATAACCTTACATTTCATTATTTTTACATTTCCAACGCCACACTGACTTCTCCACACTTTTCCTTCCACGCTATAATTCATCTTTGTTTTTTTTTTCTTAATTTTTTTTTGAAAAGAGTAATATTATATGCACTAATTAATATATTAACTAGTGTATCAATTGATGATATGACATAATTTAAGAGGTTTTTAGTATTTGTAATTTGAATAATGCTATATGCACCAATTATGATACCAATTAGTGTATCAATCGACGATGTGACATAATTTAAGAAATCTTTGGTATTTGTAATTTATATAATGAATGAGATTAATAAAAATGCCATAACATATGTTGGTACACTAATTAGTACATTAATTGGTACATGTAACACCGCCATTTTGAAAATCCACAACTAAAATAGTAAAAGAAAAAGGGCTGAGACAGGGAATAATTACTCCATCTAATATAAAACATCATAAATTCGTGGTGATTCATTGATGAAATAGGAGTCACAATCCCAATAAATGGCTCAAAGTAACGGTAATTACATTTATGCAAAATCAATATACAAATTGATTTTTCACATGTATTTTCTCAAAGACCTAACAAAAATTGTTTTTGCACGCGTTGTAGGACTATTTGGTCAGGTGCAACTAGGGCAGGCTCAATTTGAGCATTTTAAATCTAACTTGAATTTTTTTAGGGCTTGGACAAGATGTTTTCAAATTTGGTATGAGTTTGGATAAAAATTCAGAAACCCGAATTAAATTTGGACGGGCTTGGACAAAGACGTTAAACAACCTGAGCAATCCGAAACTCGAATTATACATATATAGATATATAAAAATATTAAATATATATAAATTATTAGTCATTATATGATATTAAAATAATTTAGATTATTAAATCATATTAAATATATATTATATATACAAATAACATAAAATCTTACTTTTTTTTTTTAATTTTCACTCATAAATTGTAAAGATTACTATAGCGGCATCTCTCGTATATTATATAAATTATTTATTTTGCTGATATTAATGATTTTCTATATAAAAAAATATAAATGGAGTCAACTTTTGTTAATTTAATAATGTAGTTACAAAAAAAAAAAAAAATTGAAATTTATTTACAATTTAGGCAACTCGGATTTAACTCGGGTCGGGCTTGGGCAGACAATCTTGGGTTACACTTCGGGCTTGGGCAGGTCTGGGCAGATCTCAGTACAACTTGAACTGGACTTGGACAACATCCCAACCCGACTAAACCTGCCCGAATTGCATCCCTACTATTTGGTGGTGACGGTGAGATGGTTAGGATTGTTGAGTTTGGGATATCAATTTGGGTTGGATATCAATTTGGGCAACAATGATTTAGACCAGTAAAAAATACACCACTAATAACACTAATGCATTGAAAATGGTAAAAAAAAAAAGATAAAAAAAAGAAACAAGATATAGAAAGTGGGCGGGACCCACTGCCACATCATTAGTGATCCTTCTAGTGCTCCATTTTTAGTGCTCCAAAGTATTTTTCCAATTTGGGTATGGGCGTGGGTTTTGAATATGATTTTTGGTTTTGTATTGGTACTTAGATGGCAATTTTATTAAATTTTGAACAATAGTTATAACTTAGGCTAAATTGGCGACGTTGAAATAGTTTAGTGTTGAAATTAAATAAAAATAAATTTGATGAGCCAAAAATAAGAATTCATTATTATTTAGGCAAGAAAGTGTTATTCACTTAAAATGTTAACCACGGTAAAGCAAAAACTACAATAAAACACAATTAAAATTTAAATAATTAATTATTACAAGTAGAATATGAGAAATTAAAATAAAACTTAAACAAAAATTAAAAGATAATTATTATTTACAAAATCAATTATATAAAATTAATTTAAATGTTAATTTTTCTATATGCACATAATATAATATTTTGTAATATACTTTTATTAATTTAAAATTATTCATAAAATATATAACAACTAGCTTTACCCGCTTTGTTAGGTGATTAATTTTAAAATTTTAAAATTAATCAAGCTCTGCGTGATCTACATACCTAACTAAATTAAAAAAAAAAATACAACCTAGTAAAATTTTTTAACAAAATTTATATATTAATAAACAAATTTATAATTTTATTTATTAATATTTATAAAATTTATCATTAATTTATAATTATTTTTTTTTATAAAATAGCATTGAGGATTTATTTTTTTTTCAAAAAAAAACCCTTCATCCACTTTGTGTAATATAAAGAGACACCCACTACCCTAACCTCCATATTTATTACAACAAATCCATATATAATATAGGTTTGTAGTGTTATCAAAATCAAATTAGACATTCAAAAGAAAACATTTATTATAGTATATTTTTTTCTCTTTATGAGAAGATGAAATTTTTTCTATGATCCATTTCAATTAATCAAATTTCATCAATATACACACTATGTAATCCATCTTTATATAGATGCACATATAGATAGGTTGATTATATCTATAATCCCTTGTTTTTACCTCTGATTAAAAATGTCAACCGGTTCGTCCAACGACCCAAGCCCCAACAACACTGAAACCGCTATAGTTTATCATCCCTCATCTTCATACAACGAGGCTTCAAATGGCCAATCTCACACTAGCTTCAACTACCAGAAGTCTTATCCTCCCGCTGAGGCTGAATTTGATGAAATCGCTCAAAACCCAGAAATTTTCCTGGAAAAACTCAAGGGTTTTCATGGATCTTTCGGTACCAAGTTTAAGTAAGTTGTGGGTTTCTTTTAATTTGTTCTTTTTTCCTTTTTGAGTTGTGGGTTTCTTCTAATTTGTTCTGATTTTCTTTTTGAGTTGTGGGTTTGATTTGAGGTTGATATTTGTCAATGTTTCGACATTGATTTGTTATCGCATCCCTCTCTACTAATTGATTTTGTGTATGATTCATCTATGTATGTGTGTGTGTGTGTTTGCATTTGAATGTCTGAAGTGATTGATGAAATTAGATTACTTTAAATTGATGGGTTAATTAGTCATGATACTTTAACCTGAAAAAAAATAAGAAGTTAAATTGTATTGCTCATAGTTTAATTAGGATTGTGCTGATATTTATCATTGAAATACCAACAAAAACTAGAGTTCAGAATTAAAAAAAATTCATTTCGTGGGAAATTGGAACGAAACTTTAGTGGAATACCAAAACTAATGTTTTCACCGAAGCCCATAGAAACGCACCATAATACTATGAAACATACCTCCTGGATACCGAGCTGTTCTGACACTTATTAGGATCTTCAACAATGGTCATTTCCATTTGTCATTTTTTGTTGAAAGAAAAGATTTTAGAACAAAGAAAAATATTTTATTTCTTAGAGAATCTGAAATTTTTTGAAAAGGAGAATATGGAATTTCCGGGTTTGTTTTCAGAGTTGCCCTTTAAGTTTATTTGTGAGATTTGCTAATGAGTGTACTTACCTCTATTACTTGCAAGAGTTGCTTCCTTACTACGACCCCATTTTCAATTCAATATCAATAGTCAGTTCTATGAATGATTCATGTTCTATTAATCTGGAGCAATTTCGGCTAAAGCAGAACATGTTTCCTGCGGTGAATTGTGTGTGTGTGTGTTTTTTTATTTTATTTTAAAATTGAAGTTCTGTATGTTGCTTTGTTTTGTGATATTTAATTGCAGCTCATATGCTGTTTGCATCTCTGTATGATATGTGTCCCGTAAATGCTGTGATTAATGTCTATAATATAGCCACAGCTTGAGAAACTGGTCGGTTATTTCCTGTCGTTTATGCATCTTCGTAATTTTATTGTTTGGCATAACTAGTTAAAGATAATCCATTACCGTTTCAGAATTGTAGAAGAAATGGATTTGTTATCCTTGCTATCCTTGCCCAACTACAAAAAAATGCCTGTTCCATAGGAATTTTCTAAAAAATTGTGAAGTAGGCATGTTTTTGACAGTTTAGGAGTCAGGTACAGAGCCATAGTAATGCAATACAAGGTCGTCAAGGAAACTGTGACCTCACAACTTTCCTAGTAAAGAAGTTCCTGCTTTGGTAAATGAGGAAAAGTGGATTGACCTCTGCAAAGTTGTTGCCTTGTGGTCTCAATAAAGCTACAAACACTAATTGGGGTACTAATAGTTTACTATCTCTTGACGTGGCATTGACACCTCAACACTGTGGGTCCACTCACTTGTCCCACTCTCTTGTTTACATAACCTATCTCCCTCGTGTCTTTTGTTTCCTCTTTCACACAAAACAAAACCTAACTCTCAAAACACAGCAAAATGAAAACTCTCGATACAAAGTTCTCTCATTTGAAAAAAAAAAAGTGCTCCAAGTTTCATGACTTCATTTTGAGATATGGTAATAGTAAGGCTATACAGATGTGCTACAAAGCAATAAGAAGAAGCAGAAGAAGAAATTGGAATACCTACGCTAGAGTGATCACCGTAATGCCCAAATCCCGTCATCCAAACCCAAACTTAATTTAAAATAAAATGAAAGAGAAAGTGGGAGGGTTTTGGGAGGGCGGTGGAGACCACAAGGAAATGGGGGGGCTTGGAACTTGGAAGTGCAGTGACGTAGAAGGTTTCTTGATTGTATTTTGAGAGTGGGTTCTCTTTTGTGTGAGAGATACAAATGTGTGGGGCCATGGTGTTGAGGTGGCAATGGCACATATGTAGTTAGTTAGTAAACCAGCTAGTGTTTGTAGCTCCATTATTACTCCCATTTTATGTGGCCTAGTTGACGTTACACAAATTTCAAAGGAAGCATCTTTGAATGATAAATTTACAAAAATGTTCTTGTCTTGCTTGAATAAATTTTTGGGAATTGAAATTAGATTTAAATTTAAATTTAAAATGGGTATTACCATAAAGTGATTGTCAAAATTTTAAACATTCAAAATAAGGCGAATGGGACTTTAAAAAATGGAATAATGGACATGTGAAGAGGGAGTAATAATGGAGCAATAAACTATATTCACACTATCATGCCTTTTGGTTTTATGGTGTACTTGTTGCCATGATTTAACCTTATATCATGCTGCATGACATTTAACCTGCGTGTTTCTCCTCCAGCTTGCATAAATATGCATGTGAAAGAAAAAAAGGGATAAGGCACATAAAGATATGAATAAGCATGAAGATTCCGGTTTATATTCTTTGTTTCCATTTATTTTTTTTCAGGGTTCCTACTATGGGAGGAAAGGCTCTAGATCTGCATCGCCTGTTTCTAGAAGTCACATCTCGAGGTGGCATTGAAAAGGTATGAGTTATTGTTACTCCTGTAATTTGAGTCCAACATAGTCCTTTGCAGTTGGTTGTGAGTCTTGTGACAATGCCTTTGATTTTAGCCTGTAATTCTGGGGACAAGGATTGTGAGATACTAATTTTTTAAATGGCAACATGAGTATGGTATGGGTATAGGTTGTGCGTGTGCCCAAACATATCTTGATTCACTAAAAGTTCCATAAGATTCTGCCATAACTTGTTTCTTTTGTAAATAATTTAAATGAGGGAATTTACTCATGTTGGAGATGCTCTATCACATAAGTACACAAATTTTCTCTTACTGTATATTGAGAAGAAAATTTGAAACTATAGCATTTGAATTGGGTCTTACTTCTTAAACATAAAATTTTAAGAGTTAGCTAAGTTTGAGGTTGAGACATGTGCCCACACCTAACAGAGTACCCAAGCTAATGAGACATTTTTGTGTTTGTGGTTGTGTAACATTGGCTTCAATTCACTCATGCTAGAAGGATACAATTTTTAATTTTCCAAGTTTATTTTGGGCATAAGTTTATTTTTCCCACAAGTAGCATTCCTTTTTCTTTTATTGGAGGGAGGTTTTAAAAAATGAAAGCATTAACATTACACCGTGAGCAGAGAGAAAATAATGAACAAGGGAATTAAGTTATATTTGTATTAAGCCCAAGATACTTGGCAAGTTTTATTTATGCTCTATCACAAGTCCTTGATTGGAGGTGTTTTTGTGGATATATATCTGACATTATGCCTGCTTGACTACCATTATCTTGAGATATGGGTACTTGGTTACATGTATTTGGGCAAGTTATTCACAGGAAGAGTGAAAAGATATTCCCTTGTTTGAACTTGAGGTTTATTCCATGATTTGTTGGCAATAGAAAGCGTTCCGCTTTTATGTTATGCTTATGGGTAGGCTTGTTGCACTGAAGGATCTGATTAATGTAAGCACATACATGATGAGCTAGCTTAGTGATCAATCAGTGAAGTTTGATTGGGATTTTCTATTTCCAAACCCATTTTATCAGCATCAAGCCATTAAATGTCTTGAACTTCATAGTTTGATTTTGTTGACGATCTAGATGTGCTTGAGATTAGTTGACCATGTGAGCCTCATTTAAGGAATGTGTCTATGCTGCAAAAATGTGAACCAAAGACCAGATATGTACCCATTTTTCCTGTGTGTGCTTGTTTCACCATGTTTTAAAGTGTTTATTGATGTCTATGTTTGCATTGGGAAATAATCTTCTTACTGTGAACTTGTTGCAGGTTATCAACGATCGCAAATGGAAGGAAGTGATTTCGATTTTCAATTTCCCACCAACAATAACTAGTGCATCTTTTGTCTTGCGGAAGTACTATCTATCGTTGCTTTATCACTTCGAGCAGGTTTATTACTTTCGGAAAGAAGTCCTTTCCATTTCACCGGATGGTATGCCAAAATATGAGGCTTATGATATTTTTGTGGTTTTAAGTTTTCTTATAGATTAATATAGACACATTTCCATTATCCTATCCTACAGATCCTGCAAGCAGGATCCCTGTCAATGGATCAGCAGCCCCACATGTTTTTGAGGATGGTGCCACTACAAATCAATTGGCGGGTCACGGTAGGTGTGACTACCATAATATTATCTGATTTAGGAGGTGAATTAATTAGTTCACCATTCTGCTTGTAAATATACTCTCTGTAGTTACTTGTTGGGTCTAACTAAAGCCGAAAAGATGGTTCTTGTTGTTTTGGAAATGAGCTTCTTATCTCTTTTGTGTTTGTAAAAGTCCTTAAGAGTACTCAAACCTCTATGAGCACTGAACTATTTGGATGCATGCGTTACATTAGCCATGTAGTTTCTCCACAAGTAAATTGATCACCATAAGTTGAGAACGAACATGTTAAGATGGTTTGGTTATGTGATCATTGTAAATGGAGATGCTACGGGGAGGGGAAGACCTAAGCTAGCATGAGATGCTGTAGTAAAAAAAGATATGAATTTATTTAATTGAGGATATAGCCCTTGATAGGGCTGACGGCGATAAAGGATTCGTGTTGCCAACCCTACTTGATTGAGACACATGGCTTATCTTGGTTTGGCATTGTTTGATGATCTATTTGCCATCATTTGTAATTAACAACGAGAATTTGAGTTTGTAATTTGTATACCTCCTCCTACTCGTACATTTAACATCTGGTATATCAGCAGTTTAATTGGCTTATCATGTATGATTGTAACAATTATTTTCTTGTCTATGTATGTGATTTACAGTGAACTTTGTCTTGGAGCCCGGTAGTACGGTCACTGGAACCATTGATTCAAAATTTGACGTTGGGTATTTGATTACTGTCAATTTGGGCTCTGAGAAGCTGAAAGGTGTCCTGTATCAAACTCCTACCCCGTTACATGCATCTCAGAATTTTAATACTTCAGCTGCACCTCCACACCGGAACAACCACAAGAGATACCAGCTGGCATTAAGAGATCCCTCTCGGCCCCAACCAAGTAGGAGTGGATACAATTTTTTCTTTGCTGAACATTACAACAGGCTAAACTCTTTACACCAGGGGCAAGAAAAAGCCATCAGCAAGAATATTGAAGTTTTATGGAGCAGACTCACAGATGCTGAAAAACAGGTAACATAGACAGTTTGCCATTACATTATTCTGTCGTAATTTTATGATTGGAATTTCTTGTAGCTATTGGACTTACAGAATCCTATAAACTCCATAGTATTGCTAAATCCGTACCCTTAATGATTGTGTTACAACCCTCTCTTTCACATGATTGGGTCCCATGTTGTGAGAGGTGGGTTTAGTAATCTCCTATTATTTTAAGCGGTTGGAGGTGAAGCAACTACAAAAAACCATCCGGCCATACATTTTAGATGGTGGAACCCGTCATAAAAAACACAGTTTCACTTAGATTGCTCCACCTCTGTGTTCGTAGACTTATTGGTCCCATAATTATGTTGTGTGGATCTCAAGCTTCATTGGCAATTTTTTTGTAATTTTTGGCGATGCATTGCAGGTTTATGAGGACAAAGGGTTAAGAGACGAGGAGAGATACAGGAGCGAACTGTCGTAGTACAGGTTTTCCAACAATTCCAAAGATCAATAGTTTCTGAGCTTTAGGTTATTTTAGCCAAACTTGTCTATAGACATCATCATCATCTTTCTTTCTTCTTCCTTGATTGTTCTTGTTGCTATGTTGTATTTTGTGTTGTTTTGTTGCCTTTAAGCCCTTGAAATAAATAACCAGACAAACTAGCCCTTTCGCTAGAGTACTATTAGGTACTGGTGCATTTCAATAGAAGATACACAATGGAAGTGTAGGCCTGTGTCTCTCTTCTTGTGTCTGTAGCAAAGGTCGGGGCAAATTCATGTAAAATATCTGGTGAATTTCATATTTTATGAATGGGATTGCTGAATGGTGACATATTTGCTACTAGATTCGCTTCTCTCTCTCCCTCTCTCTCTGAATTCAGAACTGGTTTCCCATATCCCTTACATGGAAAACTATAGAGTCCTATGGGAAAAAGAGTTGTAAAATTCTACAAATAATCCTATCATATTTGGAGGGTATACTTTTACACGGAAACAAAAACCTTCGAGAACAAATATTGGATTGGGATTTTACCCCTTCTAATTCTATATAGTTTATCATTCATAATCTTATTCAAATTAATCCATATATGAAATGAGGTCAGGGTAAATTTCCATTGGAATCCCTTCAAACAAATGTTCAAAGCTATGCGAATTTGAATTTTTATTTTTTAATATTTGTTTTCTTTTTCAGTTTTTCATTTTTTTTAAGCTAGAAAGAATAATATATATATATATATATTTTTTTTTCATGAAACAATATGTATACTAATTTCGATGACAAGTGAAGCAAATGGAGTGAGGAAGGTGGTAATGTCTGTAAATGCAAAGTTATAAAGGTGATAAGTATGTAATAAAGAGTTGCTTTCATTTGGTCTCACGAGAATGTGTCAAGAAAACAGTTGGAGCTTTCCATCTTCCACATTACCTTCACCTATAACTAGTACATGCGTAAGTAGCGGTTCAAGATTTTTGAACATTTTATATTAAATATTAAAATAAAAAATTATTTAATTGAGTCTTTGAAAAATTTAGATTTTTAAGAATATAAATTTTTTAAAATTTTCTTGTACGTCTTAGGCAATAATTTAAGTGGATCAATAGTCGAGCAATCTTGTTGAAGTCAATTTCTTTATTTCAAATCTCTTTTGTTCCCTATTTTGTGTCATCACTCTACTATAAAATGCAATAACAGCTCGAGATTTTTTGAGACCTTAGGCTGAATATAAAAATGAGCCCCTTATTTTTTTAAGAAATCTATGGCCACCAGAGAAATTGCCTAATGATTAAACTACCTCTGATAAAATAAGACTCTTAGGTATGATTGTATGATATAGAGGAGGTTGGAATAAGAAGAGACAAAGGCAACTTGACTTTTTAAGCCACTTAGCTTAGGTTATTGCCTATATTTCAAATCTCTTTTGTTCCCTATTTTGTCATCTCTCTACTATAAAATGCAATAACAGCTCGAGATTTTTTGAGACCTTAGGCTGAATATAAAAATGAGCCCCTTATTTTTTTAAGAAATCTATGGCCACCAGAGAAATTGCCTAATGATTAAACTACCTCTGATAAAATAAGACTCTTAGGTATGATTGTATGATACAGAGGAGGTTGGAATAAGAAGAGACAAGGGCGACTTGACTTTTTAAGCCACTTAGCTTAGGTTATTGCCTACTGCTTCTCTCTCAATCTCATTACTTTAACAGTCTGTTTGGATTAAAGAGTTTGGCAGGAAAAGAAAAGAAAAAACAAAAACAAAAACAAAAAAAAAAAAACAAAAACAAAAACAAAAACAAAAAAGAACTCTCATAACTTGTATGCAAATCGAAGAGGTAAAATTAGTGAGATTTAGTGAGTAATTAAAATGACTATACAAAATAATTTCAAATACCTAAATTGGCGGGTATAAAACAAAACATTAAAAATAAAAAGACACTTATACTGTAATAATAATTTTTTCTTTTCTTTTCTCAGTGAAAAATCATAATCTTTATCATTTCCTTTTTCACCTACTCATCTAAATGTTGTATAAGAACAACTTTACCATCACCATACTTTGTGTGTGTGTGTGTGAATCAGTTTTTTGAACTCAATAATCAAGGCTTGATGTTGGTTTTTTGTAAGTGTTTCTTCCTTCTGACTTTTTGTCCCTAGTCAAGAAGTAAGGAGAGAGAAGAAACCTCAAAACCAACAATTTTTTATTAACCCAAAAAAAATAAAAATGAAGTTGTTGATTATGTAATTAATTATTTGTTTAGGGTGACCTATGGTTTCTTCCAATTCATTCTCTTTCATATAATAATAGGAGCTTTGTAAGATAATTTTATATCCTTTATTCCTTTGTCTAAACACCTAGACCTTTTCAAATGACCCCACAAATATTATGTAGTTCTTTGTGGAATATACACCAAATCCATGAACTCTTTTGCAAGTAGCCCCCTTATTTTTATTTTATTTTATTTTTTTATTTTTATTTTTATTTTATTTTTTGGTGGTGGCAAAATTTGCAAGTTGCTTTTGAGGGAGTTTCATGTCATAGTTTTAACCTTTTTCTTTTGAGTAATGAGTTGATACTTGCAAGGAAAGTTAACAAGGTGAGAGGTTGTTGTACAATGTTGACCGGTAAATCAGTGAATTTTGATATTGATAACAAAGCTCTGACATCAACATATTTACGTTCAGCTTGAAAAGCATGCCATAGAGAGCTTTATACTTTGGAAAGATTAATTTTGCTCACAATTTAAGAATGTGAACAAGTTTCATTTTGGATGTTATTCATAACATATTAACTTTAAATCTACCCTTAATACTGCACTTTTAAAATAAAATTCTAATTAATTTTTCATGGTACCTAGAATTATTCAAGAAAAAAAAAGAAAAAAAAAGAAAAAGAAAAGAGCTCAGATAAGCACAAGATTGAACAAGAAGCTGAAATAAAGCCCCAAAGGGCCTTATTTAAAAGAACCATATTGTATTGTATATTGCAGCTTCTTTTAACATCATCCAATCCCTACAAAAGAAACAAACAAAACCCTTTTTGGATCTTTCCTTCATCACACAGCAATCTATGAAATAACCACAAAAAAATAAAAAAGGAGAAGACCATAAAGACCCCATTAGAGAAAGGAAAAACCAAGATGGTTCCTCTATGTAACAGTGTGGCCAAGCCAAAATTTGAGGTTTTCAAAAAAGTATTGACTCTGGTCCAAAACTATACTAGAAAGTGCTGTTTGGTCCACATGCAATCTATCATGGGCTCAATTTTAATGATATGATTTATTCATATTTGTCTTCAAAGAAATAGATGACTAGTATAAATTTGAAATTAGACAATAATGTGATAAAATCATATCATAGATAAAATGCAAAGAAACTATAATATGTATGTGGGTTAAATTCATCTTGAATGTAATATGAGTCGTTCTTAACAAAAACATAAGCCACAAAGTGTCGGTGCATTTTTATGCATTTTAATTATAAATATATGGCATTATATATTGAATTAAATCATCAAAATAGAGTCTATGATAAGCTTCACGGACTCTAACAGAACTATCTGATTCACATTGCAGATGGGAGACAATCCCATTCCAAATTTTAATTCCTAGAAGATGCAAATAACTGGCAATTCTAACTGAAAACTTGACCTAACCTAAGATACTGAGTTGTACGAGGAAGAAGCAAAACCATATCCACTTCCATGTTCTTCAGAGTCCTCAACACCATCTTTATCTTCCATGGCAGGTAGCTCATTCAGATCAAACCCTAGAATCTTTTGGCCTGTCTGGCTCGCCTCGCCAGGTGACGATGTGGCTTGGCTGGACGGAGCTTCAACCGGACCAGTCCAGTGGCACCTCTTGTGACCCCCAAGCGCCTGACCCGTGGCGAAATCCTTGTTACAAATCTTGCACCGGTGAAGCGCGCTATCAGCTGGCTTCGAGCTTCCAGCTCCTTCGTTCTCCTTAGTTTCATCGGCTCGGGGAATGTCCTCAGCAGCGGCATATGAAGACTCGTCAATGGTGGTCTGACTGGTCTTGGCTTTGTTGTGGCTTGATCTATGCCCACCCAATGCTTGGTGAGTTGGGAAACACTTGTTGCAAGTGCTGCATTTGTAGTACCTATCAATTGGCCGATGAATTTGATCAATTTGTGCCAATCCCAAGTCGCTCAATTTCACCATCATCCTCTTCTTCTTCTTGATCATCGCTGATTTGTTATTATTCTTATATTTGTAATTAATGATCAGTTGTTCACTGGGTATGCTTTCATCGGAATCGGTGAAGTTAGGCTCAGTTTCCAACACTGCCTTACCTTTGCCTTTTTCCAAATTCTTCACTAGCACACTGTTCGATCCTCTCGATACTGATACATGGTGACTCATGTCAGTCGACCCAGGATGATGATCCATCGTAAAATCAACTGGCGGCTCTGACTCATCGATTATTCTTTTTCGCTTCTTCGATTCAAATACCCGATTTTTGCCCTCCGTTTCAACCTTGTTGGTCAGTGAATTGCTGTTTGTAGCCTCAACTACTACTCTATATTTATGGGTAAGCCCAGAACCCGACTCCAAATCCAATGAATCACCACTATGAGCTAGCCTCATGAGATCATCCACGGCATCTTGTAACCGCTTCTCCTCTGCCATCGTGCCAGTGGCGGCAATTAGGGCTCTGCGGCCGCGCTTGGCAGTTGCAGACCAACCCACTAAAGACTTCGTCAAATCGATCTCCTGAATCCCCATATCACTATCAATATATGACTGATTATCAGCTTTTAACTGCTCGCAATCCGATACATAGGAGGAATAAGATGAGCTGTCCTTGGCGGCCGGAGGCCGAGAAGGAGGCTGTATTCCCCTCCATTCCCTCTCCGGATGACACCTCATGTGCCCGAACAAGGACTTCATCGACGGAAAATTCTTGCTACAAATCGAACAAACGGGTTTGGAGTAACAACCACTATTGTCTTTGTCACTGTCTCCAATATTGTACTGATTCTGATTGGTTTTGAGCTCTTTGTTGTTCTGAACATGAATTCTCATGTGACCCCCCAAAGCTTTTCCAGAGCTAAACCCTTTCTTGCACACCTTACAAACCCGAGGCTCATCGTTCTTTCGCGGCCTAATCTGATCTTCTTGTTCTTCGATCTTCTGAATTTTGAGCTTTATCCATGGCTTTTCTTCACCGGAACAAACTTGTTTGTTCGATAATCCGATCACCGGAAACTGATTTTCTTGATCATGATCAGCTTCCATTGTAGAAGAAAACAAGAGCAGTTATAACTTACCAACCAGCTCAATACCCAAAAAAAAAAAAAAAGTTTCTTCAGAATCATGCAAGTGATTATTATTGTTATTTTCCTCGAAGAAGAAAAAGATAGTAAAGAAAAGAAAATCAGTGAAAAGAGGAGGTTGCGTAGCCCGAAAGAAACCAAAACGGAAAATTAGGAAGAAAGAGGAGGAAAATTTACAAACCCAACTGGGAAAATCAAGATGTGTATGTGTTTGGGTACGAGAGTGAGTCTGTGATGATGAGATATAAACCCAAACCCAAACCCAGATCAGATCAGTAATGAAATCAAGAAAAAGAAAGAAAGCTCAAAGGGTAACGAAAGGTCATCCTTAACTGCTCTGTGTGGAAATTAACTCTCACGTTCTTCACTCGTTTCTCATAATCTCTCTCTCTCTCTCTCTCTCTCTCTCTCGCTCAAACTTTTGAATTGTATTCATGGACTAGGTCTAGCTAAAAGCGCCAACTAAGGAAAGACTGAGAAAAAGAATTGAAGGAATTTTCTTTCTGTATTTATTTATTATTAATTTAATTAAATTTTTTTCCCATAAATAAGATAGCTACTTAAAATCTCTTACCTACCAAAAATCTCTCTTTGTAATTAATGATTTAAAATTTTCATATATTTTCCTAAAATAAAGGATTTATATTATAGACAAACTCTCCAAAATCAAAACTCATCCACCTTTAAATTTTAGTACTTATCTCTCTTTGCATGAGTCATAACTATTTGGATAAATTACACTCATCACTTTTAGATTTTTTGAAAAAGATGCTGTTAGTCTGAATTTTTAATATAGTTATACTATTATCCTTTTTAGTAAAATTAAATCAATTAAAATTAACGCTGATAATAAATATACAATTCAATAGATAACAGATGGTAATATAATTTTTTTATTCATACAACTTAATTTTTATATAAATTAATATCTTAAAGGATATCAGTATAATTATGTTAAAAATATAAAATTAAGTATTTTTTTAAAAAAAATTTAAAGAAGGTAAATGTAATTTACACTATCTATTTTTATTTCCTCTATTGTAATCTCGTTTTGTGTCCATTCATTGTTAGTGAGACCAATAGAGAATGAGAGAGGTTGGCTTGTATGTATGGTACGGCCTCGTTTAGGAACAAATTTTTTTAATAATTTTTTGATTAAAATATGATATAAAAAAATTAGTATGTTTGGAATAATTTTTTAATTTTTTACGAAAAGATGTGTAAAAAGAAAATTTTTGACATTTTAATACAAATTATTGACTTTTTGATTTTTTTAACTTTTTGACTAAAAAGAGATGTTGTCAAAGCCTTAATTGTGCATTAATTTTCTTTTAACACCAAAATTAATTGCCTAATGAAACTTCTTCACCCTGCCCTACCTTCTTCCACGCGTTTTTGAACTTTGTTTCTCAACCCTTTTCCCAACTTCACCATTAAATAATGATACACAAAATATTTATAGAAAGAAAAAAATTAGGGATCATAAAATTTTTTTCATGAAAATGATCATGAAAGAGTTATGATCCTTGGATTACCTTGATTTGTGTGTGATGCTTTATTCTAAGTGTAATCCAAGGGTCACAAAACTTTCATAATTATTTTCATGAAAGGTTTTTCATGATACCTAGTATTGCTGTTATAGAAAATTTATATATAGAAGGATAGGATTGCATTAAGAGTTACCATTTTAAAATAAAGTGTATATTTAAAGGATATTTAATTATTAAAATCTTGTTGCGACATTATTCTAATAACATATTCTATATAAATTTTTTATAAATAAACAATTTAAGTAAATAAAAAAATTGAGTTTGTAGTAAATAAACAATTTAAGTAAATAAAACAATTTAAGTTTCACAATTCACCCACATGGTAAGGGAGTTGAGTTTGTAGTAAATAAAAAACTGATACATAATTTGGGATAATGGGTCACTGCTATGTGGTGGGCACAATAGTGACTGTTGTGTGCTTCGTGAGGCCCATTTTAGATTCTATTTTAATGATTCGAACCGTTCCTTTTTTAAGAAATATTAAGTAGAACATACTTGTAAAAAATTAAATTGATCGGATATCAATAGCATATTCATCAAATCACATTTGTAGATATAAAAATGAAGTACAAATAAGATTGTAATATTAAACTGAAAACAAATGTGGTTTGATGAAAGTGCTATTGATATCCGCTCAATTTGATTTTTTACAAGTGTTTTCTACTCAAAATTTTCAAAAAATAAACAGTTTAAATCATCAAAATAGGATCCAAAATGGGCCCCACAAGGGGCACAACAGTGGACGCTCCTTCCATAATTTTTCAAGTCATTGTAGATAAAATTGTGAGATTTAAATTATGGATCTCAACCATCTTGTTTGGTTCTAATTTCCTAAATTCAATTTTCTGAAATTTTTTATTTTTTATTTTTCATGTTTTTTATTTTTTATTTTTAGTGATTTTTAAAAATATTTAAGCAATTTTTATTTTTATTTTTTAGATTCACTTAATATAAATATAATTAAAAAATATAATATTTGTGAAAAAAATCTTTAAAAAATTCACTAAATACCAAGAACATAAAATAAAAAAAAAAAAATACAGAAATTCAGTACATTTTCGTATTCTTGTATATTTATTAATTTTTTTTTATAAATATTTTACTTTTTAGACACATCTAAATTGGGTACATTTAAAAAGTAAAAAAATTAACTTAAAATATTAAAAAAATTTATTAAAAATAAAAATATATAAAAAATAAAAACTCAATTTTTAAAAAATTGTAACCAAAATAAATAGTAAATATTTCTCATCTAGTTGGAATGCAACAAATTAATGAGAGGGATATTTAAGGTAAAAAAGGGTCCATCCTATGCATGATAATGCATGCAAGTTCAGTCCTCCTTTGGCATTAGTTTTTTTAATTGGCTTTTTTGTGTTTTGCTTGATTTTTTTAGTCTCGTTTGGTTTGTTTTTTTATTTTTATTTTTTTGACTTTTGTAAGAGAAAAAGTGTAATAATTATAATTTAGATGTGATATTTTATCTTATTGATTTATATAACCAATTTTTTTAATACTTTTTTAATCAAAAATCAAATGCCAAATAAAGCTTGTGGAAAGGTTGAAATCCCTGCCACCAAATTAATCAACATCTTAGACAGCTCATCCTTTTGTGTCTTATTATTTTGAATGTGTTGTGCCTTGCCACAACAAGCTGTTGTGAAGCTTGTCGGAGAATGCCTGAATTTATTTTTATAATTCGAATTGTGTGTATTATAAAGTTTGTCAGATAGATTACATATAATAAAAAAAAAATCAGATACATTAGATACTTATAACCCTATAACATGGCCATATTTGTTTTAAATAAAAATAAACGATTGGAATAATTTTGACAATTTTTTTAAAAATAATTAAGATTGATCATAAGGTTAAATATGTTTGATTAAACTGAATTTTTTTATGAATAATATACTCAATAAACTTTACAATATAAATAGATCAGATTCTCTAAAGAAAAAAAAAACTTGGGACACACCAACAAGGCCTCACAACACAACTGTTGTTCCGCAAGGCACAAACACCAACCCCAATCTCGGCTGGTGCGCCCTATAAAATGTTTTCTATGAGTTCTTGTTAGGGGTGTAACTTGGGCGGACTCAATCCAAGTAACCCGAATTCAGTTTAAATTTTTTTAATGTTTACACAAGATATTTTCAAATTCGGAACGGATATGAGAAATAATTCAGAAATCCAAATTAAATTGGAACGGGCTTGGACAGAAATGTCAAACAACCTGAGCAATCTGAAACCCGAATTATGCATACATAGATATGTAAAAATATTAAATATACATATAAATTATTAACCATTATATGATATTAAAGTAATTTCGATTATTAAATCATATTGAATATATATTATTATATATACAAATAACATAAAATTTTACTTGTTTTTATTTTCACTCATAAATTGTAAGGACTACTATAGCAACATCTCTCTTACATTATATAAATAATTTGTTTTGATGGTATTAATGATTTTCTATTAGAAAAAAAAACTGTAAATAGAGTCAAATTTTAATAATTTAATAATGTAGCTGCAAAAAAAAAAAACTGAAATTCATTTACAATTCGGGTAACTCAGATAATTCGGGTTTAACTCGAGCCGGACTTGAACAGACAACCTCAAATTACAATTTGAGTTTAGACAAATCTCAACACAACTTAAATTAAACTTGAATAACCTTTCAACCAATCTGAATCCGTCCATGTTACGCTCTAGTTCTCGCACCTTGCAAATCATTAGAATGTGAGAAGTTTAATTGCTTTCGCTTATGTGTGTCTTTCCTCATCTTTCTCATGTTCATTGAATTTGTCGTTTATTTATAGATGTGTGTTAAAAATGGATTTTGATTCCCCCCATTTCATAGTAGAAGATTTTCTTTATATATCTAATAGCTATAAAATAGGAATGTATATTTATAATTATTTTTAATTAAAAAAAATTATTACACTTACCATTGGATATCAGTGTCGTTTGGAAAGTGAGTTATTTTTGTCTTTTTGATTTTTTGATTTTTTTAGTTATTTTAACCTGAGTTAAAAAGTTTAGTTTTGAAAGAACTTTTTGACTTTTTTGACTTTTTTGTGAGAGAAGAGTGTAATGATTATAAATTAGATGTGATGTTTTATTTTTTGTGATTAAAATAACCTATTTTAGCTTTTGTGGCTAAAATAGCCAAAAAAAAACCCAATAGCTCTTCCCAAACGGAACCTAAAATCTTTCCATTATTAATATGTAATGGAGAGAATCATAATCCGTAAAATTGTAGATTGAATCAAATTATTTGACTCCTATTTAAAGTTTATTCATGTTTGAATAAAAGATGCTTCCTAATTGATCTAAAACAATAGTCCATAATTTTTTATGAGATCAACACTATTTTCAAATAAGAGGCTCACTTTGAACGCGTGTCAACATACATTTTCCGTGTCCAAGGTCAAACTCTAAAATGTGATTTTTTTTTTCCACATTCTCCTCTTCAAACTTTAGAATCTATTTTTTAAAATAAAAAAATATTCATCATTTTCATATAATTTTTATTATAAAAATATATTTTTGCTGTTTATTTTTTTCCCAAAAAAAAAATCACGTGGAAAAATAAAAAAATAAAAAAGCATCTTCTTGACTCACAAATTACATAGTTTGCATGTAAAATAAAAATTTACTAACAATCTTGCTAGAGACCTCGAAATTTCGAAACTTGAATGCTTCGAATCAAAATTTTTTTTTTTTTTGCTGTGTTGGTTTGGTTGTTTTGTTTTGTTTTGTTTTGAAGGGTGATTATGTGTAGGGGTGTGCTACAAAACTAAACATCCCGTGCTAATTCTGTGTGATTTGATAAGATGAGTGAGTTGGGTTAGACTAGTTTGATGATAAAATTGACGGATCAATTAGGCTGTTGACGGATCAATTAGGACACACTCCAAACAAGGCCTCACAGCACAAGTGTTGTTCCACAAGGCACAACACTAGCCCAATCCCAGCTGGTGCACCCTATAAAATGTTTTCTATGAGTTCTTGCACCTTGCAAGTCATTAGAATGTGAGAAGTTTAATTGCTTTCGCTTATGTGTCTTTTCTCATCTTTCTCATGTGTATTGAATTTGTTGTTTATTTATAGATGTGTGTTAAGAAAGGATTTTGATTCTCTCCATTATATAATAGAAGATTTTCTTTACATATCTAATAGCTATAAAATAGGAATATACATTTATAATTATTTTAAATTAAAAAATATTATTATACTCACCATTAGGTGATATAATAAAATTTTCCATTACAAATATGCAATGGGAAGAATCACAATCCGCAAAAATATAAATTGAATCAAATTATTTGACTCATATTTAAAGTTTGTTCATATTTGAATAAAAGATGCTCCCTAATTGATCTAAAACAATAGTCCATAATTTTTTTATGAGATCAACACTATTTTCAAATAAGAGGCTCACTTTGAAAGTGTGTCAACATACATTTTCCGTGTCCAAGGTCAAACTCTAAAATGTGATTTTTTTTTCCCACATTCTCCTCTTCAAACTTTAGAATCTATTTTTTAAAATAAAAAAAATATTCATCATTTTCATATGATTTTTATTATAAAAATATATTTTTGCTGTTTTTTTTTTTCCCAAAAAAAAAAATCTTGTGGAAAAACAAAAAAATAAAAGAGCATCTTCTTGACTCACAAATTACATTCATAGTTTGCATGTAAAATAAAAATTTACTAAACAACACAAAGTGATATTAATTACAGGCGCAATTGACGTGGAAACTATTCTTTGACCAATTTATTGACTTTTGCTTTTTCTTTTTTTTAACCGAAAAAAGGAGGTTCTGTTGGGCATCACGACTTCCGTAAGCCCAAGTCTCGGGATAACCGGTTGCCGGCTTGGTTTAACCCAACCCATAGGAAGGGACCTACCACCAAGGCACCAGTGGAGATCATCAACCAGCGCAAAGTCTCCGCAAAGAGCCCTTGGGAAATCCAGGATTTTCATGCCCCCATAGGAAGGGACCTACCACCAAGGCACCAGTGGAACTCATCAACCTCTGCAGAGAGCCCCTGGGAAATCCAAGATTTTTGCGCACCCCAAAAATCAAACTTGACTCATGACTGTAAAAAGACAATGCCTTCACCACTGGGCCACCACCCTTGGTGGTTATTGACTCTTGCTTTCCGAAACACATTTTATTCATCAAATTCAATACCCCTAATTCATAGCCATGTCTTGATATGAGCGTGACCTAAATATTGTACAACATGTCAAGACCCAATTATGTTTTTTTTTTTTTTTCCCTTTATTTTTTAGATTACTATTTTTTTAACTAGATTTTTATTTTATTTATTTTATTTTTCTTTTTTTTAAGAAAACTATTGTGTCATAAAACTATATAATCAGATTAAATTTTAAAAATTAATATCTTTAAGACACTTGTTAACAAGACTGTTACCTTTTTAAAGTATATTTCCCCCTTTTCTTCAATTGCAGCTTTTAGTATTGGAATGACAGTAAGCTTGTTCAAATTTTTAGATAAATTACACCAGTAATCCTGTACTTTGTATCTTGCATTAGATTCTTACAATATCAATTAAATCAATTTTGATCTTCAGAGTTCTAATTTTGTTTCAATCTAGTTTAATTGATAAAGTCGTTTATGAATTTTGATAGAAATTCTACATGCGCATGGCATGAAGGGCAAAATAATAATTTTACTTGTATCTCCATCCTACTCAATGAGTTAATTTACTCAAAAAAAATAAACCAAATATACATACACAGAGAGAGAAGAGGAATGAGCACATGGTTTGCCCATGGCATGGTTCTCTCAAGTCTAAATACGTGTTTTACGCTTTCTGTTAAGTCACGTAGAATGTCTACCAATACATTTTAATTCACAAATAACAAAAGACTATATATTTATTTTCAAATGACAGAGTACATATGAAATAAACCATGGGAAAATAAAATGAAGAATCAACACCATACCCACCGTACTTGACAATTTGGCATTTACTATATATATTGTTTCCCCAGTATAACTCATTGTAATCAGGACAGTTTTCTTCAGACAACATTAGCTAAAGTCAACTGTAATTTCCACATTGATCAGGGGACATCAGTGTAATTTACCATTTTTTATTTTTATTTTTCACTTCAATCAGAAAATTCACCACATTCATGTCCTAAAAGTCTAGATATTAGATAGCACAATACAAAAATCACAAGTACAAAGAATCAAAACAAATTAACAGACACATGCAATTTGGAAAACTGGTATGTCTGATCTATCTCTATCAGCTATTAAAAGAAGTAAATTGACATAACATTTCAAACATTTTCTTACAGAGACAGAATATTACAAAAAGACACAACTGTCCTAAAAATCAGGTGGGTACAACCCCGGCATACTGGGGAGCTAACTGCAACAAGAGAAACACAAACACTACAACTAGCAGTATCAATTGCACGAAAAAGAAAGAACTAACCTTACATACCCGATTCTGCAGCGTTAGAACCTGATCAGTCTCTACAATATCTTCACAAGAAGTCTCCAACTTCTCAGCCAGTCTCTTCAGCATCGCAGCCTTTCTTTTTGCATCTCCAAGCTCGTTCAATGTCTGAGCTTGCTCTGAAACTAGAGTCTTTTGTTCATCCACCGCAGCAACTCTCAACTTTTGGATTGTTCTTGATATTGCCAAATATTCAACCTCGGCTTCAATCTTTTGCTCGAAAAGAGTCTCGAGCTCGGCCTCCATTTCTTCCCTTGGCAACTCAGTACTATTTAGAGCGTGTTCAAGTTCGGTGACCTTGGCTTCCTTTGCTTTGAGCACAGTGTTTGCCTCTTCAAGCTTGTTTTCCAAAAGATTTATGTTCTGTTTTAGGGTTACTAACTGGCTTTCCAACTCAGCACTTCGAGTAATATCTCCGGAGTCCAACAGGTCAGCTGAGCTTGCTTTGATGATTTTTGAATCAACAGAAGCGAACTCAGTAGGTAAACTCCTCTCCTGGGTTGAACTGTCAAAAACTGAAATATATTCAGTCCCTATCTCCCTTAGTTTCTGAATTTCTGCAATGGTACACATAGCTTCATTAATTGCGTATCTTTCTGATACTCTTACAAAAAGAAGGCTGACGTAACTAGAAATCATTCATAATAAATTGACAAATGCAGCCAAAAAAATAAAATAAATAAAGGATCAGAATAACTCCAGCAAAATATTCACTGCAAATTCAGCACCTAAACAGAAACCGCCATATCATCTAAGCTTACGACATTTTTCTAGCAAATATTGCACTGTAACCTCTGCACCTCAACAAAACAACCATATGTTCCCACACCTTCTTTTCTGGGGTGTGTGTGTGTGTGTGTGTGTGAGAGAGAGAGAGAGAGAGAGAGTAGGACATAACCGCAAAAAAAACTCAACCCAACAAAGCCTTGTCCTCCCAACTATTTGGGCTTGGCTACGTGGATATTATTGTTTTAGTCATTCTGTTTGATCAAAGAGCCATAATTTCAGATAAAACGAAAGCTAACAAAAAGGCTGTACCTAGTGCACAAGCCAATGTCTCTCTTTTTTTTTTTCTTTCAAAAAATATATATATTATCTTCATGTTAATTTTGATCTTCCCCAGTCGCCTAGCATTATCCTCAATGTGGACAGTGCGCCTTTCTTCATAACTGGTGCAATTATTGGTTTTGTTGTACATGACTAACTATCTTATTCACTTCTACCTCATTTTATCTTCAACTGTGAACATGTTGTTCCTTAATTGCCCTAAACAAATAAGACGACATAGAAACTAAGAGAAAAAACTTATAGCAGCAAAGAAACATTCAAGGGCTGAAAGACACTTCTAGAGACAACATTCCAACTCCGTCTTCAAACCATATGAAATGCTCCTATGGATCAGCTTCAAACTACATTTTTTTATTATCTCATCCAACCAAAAGGCCTCAATGAAACAACTAAATGGTTAACTTCATGATTCCCTAAAACCTCCAGACCTCTGAGTTAACCCGAGTAGCTGAAGGAGTACCTACTGCAGCAAGCTTCAAGAACCCATGAATGGGAAGAGGGAAAATAGCAGAAGTGATAGGTTTAGAAGAACAGGACAAGGATTTCGTTGAAGCCTTTTACAACAGGATGAGGAACTCCTAAAATGTGGAAATCAAAGCCTAAAAGGCTATAAGCATGGGGATCTTCCCCACAGAAATCAAGATGAAGCCAATGAGCCTTAACTAACTAGAAAAGAAGAACTTGAAAGAGAATATATCCTCATTGAGAGGACCAACAAATTATACCCCCCAAAAAAATGAAAAAGAAGAGAAGTTCAAATTTAAGAACCTGAATTTACATTGTAGGGCAAAAGAATTGAAAGACTCACCCACATCTAGAAATCAAGCATTTAGAGTTGAGCATCTAAAACAAAGCTACCTTTTTTTTTTTTTTTTAACAAGTATCTTGAACGAAGCTACCTATAGCACTTGCGAAGATTACCTATAATGCTACATGATCTGGTGAAGATGGAGTTATCAAGTTCAAACAGCTAATGAGTGCTAAGAGAGACCATAACAGTATGGCAGAGAAGTAGACATCAGGACACCTTAACTCCACATGTATAAGCTAGAACAAGGTGAGACAGAATGCTTAGCACAACAACAGAGAGAAACTAAATTTGAGAACTATGTCACCAATAACAAATGATAAGAATGACTTGATGGAAAGTATAAATATATGAAACTCCAGGGCAAAATGAATGGAAAGTCAGAAAGTGCATCAAAAGTGAGAATCAAGAAGTTCCTTAGAACTATAATAATACCTAGGATAGAGGAGGAGTTTTTTATTTTTTATTTTTTTAATGTCATGAGATGAAAACCATACCAGGGATTTAAATATGAATATAAATATGTATATTTTCAGATATAAAAAAATAAAATCAATATAAAACTATGATGTTATTGAATAATAATTCTACATACTTGCATAGTATCTTCAACTTCCTTCACTTCAATAGTTTCAGGAAGAAGAATAACAAACTCGTCTTATCTTTGCAATACATTTTACTGTAGTATCATAGAGAATGTCAATTTTAACAAAATGCTAGAGCAAAGAGAAACCCATATTTTTTAGGGAGCTTGTAATTACAAAACAGCAATTAGTGTGATGAATCTTACAGCTGCATTCAAACCAAGAACATAAACAATAAATACTTAAAGCTAGAATTACAGTATACCGACCTTTTTCAAGTTCTTCCTGTGCAGACTGCAGTGTGTAGATACACTCAACTAGAGGATCTCGATCTGTTGATGACCTATGGTGCTCAACTTTTTCTTCTTTAACCTCCCAAGTCAAGTCAGCAGCTAAATCTTCTTGAGATTGATCTTCAAATTCTCCCAAATTTTCTTTGCTTAGAAGTTCCTCCCCCAAGTTTTGTTCACCACCCTGAGCTTCATCACTGTTTTCTCCATCGTAATTCATTGACCTTCCACTTTGTCTCCCATTACTAGTCACCATATTATTGGTGCCCTGCATAAAGACAAAGTTGGAGCTTCGCGAGTCAGATTCCATGCTGGAATGAGAGTTTTCCTTCTCGATTTTGACCCGTTCTCCTCTAGCCTTCTTACTGGTCTCAATCCGACTCTTTTAACTGCAAATAATTGGCCTTTTTGAGTGGAATTAACCAAAGTTTTCACGCCCAAAGTCTTCATCCTGTTCTTATCGCGTGCATTTCCCTCCATTGATTGCACTTCATGCCTTGACTTTGGAACACTGGCTGCCGTAGAAGACTTGCTACTCCGATCCTCACTGTTCTCAGAATCAGTCCCAGCAGAAAAATCAAGTCCAACTGCCAACCTAGAATCCAAATTGAATCCATGTAAGGAAAAACCATCCGCACCAACACCCATACTTTTCAACATTGCATTTGTGGATGATACAGATCCATTGCTCTTTTGCCTCGTCTCAACAGACGAACCCTGAGGTTTACTTGAATTCATCGCTGGTGTTGACAAACCCCGCTTTAAAATCTTACCAGTATCTGCACTACTACTCCCATCCTTATTAAATTCCCTCTTAATTCGCCTCCATTTCTTAAGCCCATACCCTTTTGTCATCGCCGGTGGTGACGATCCCACAGAACCGACCGGAGACTTACCGGTCAAGGGAGGTGAACTCACCGACTCAGTAACTCCAACATCCTTATCATCATCACCACCATTTTCACCATTCCACGACCCATTATTTTCAACCTTGTTTACATCAACACTTGCCAATCTTTCAGGGCTTATTATTACTTCATTGTCCTCCACAGATTCAAGAACTGAACACTCACCCTCCAAATCCATCACTAAATTTATAGTTTCTGTATTAAAAAAACAGAAGGAAAAAAAAAAGCGATTTTGAGGCTTCACAAACTCAGATCAAGATCGAGAACAACCAACAATCATTCCAGCTCATGGAGGCCGAATCTAGGAACAAACTAAGACAATAAATTACTAATTTCTAACGAATTCAATTGAAATTGGATTAAAAATTTTAATCTTTCGAATTTGAAGACGATTTAAAGAGGAAAAAAAAATAGAATTGTAATGAATTAAAAACAAATTGGGCGTAAATTGAAATGAATTGAAGATTTAGCGTACCTTATTCGCCATAAATGAAGCTTGATTGGGAGGAGAGAAGTGAGGTTTGGAATTGGAAAACCTAATTTGGGGTTGAATTGAGAGATTTATAGCTAAGAAAATGAAAAACTACTTGAAATTATGGGAAATTTTTGGGATTGGGCCATTTAAGATTAGGAATTAGTGTTCTATATAAGTGATGTATTTGTGTATTTTTTGTTCAATTAATTCAATCTAATATACAATTTTATTTAGAAAACTTACAATCCATGGTCTATAATTGCGGAAGCCAGAAATGAAGCATCAGGTTTAGGTATTCGAAAAGTAAATTAATGGTGACTGGGATCAGCTGACAAGAAGCTAAAAAATGAGTTGGAGAAAGAATTTATGACATTAAGTTCATACTTAATTTGCAGAACAAATACTCTCAATATACCAGACTTTTTCTACCAATTATATTTTTTGCCAGAGACAACTCAATTACTACAATGGCCATACATGAACCAAAATTTCCTGTGTTTCGTTTCAATTTTTGACTTCAATTTTTTAGAAATTGAATTTTTTGTTTTTCGTATTTTTTTTATTTTAATATTTTTAAAATTTTAAACATTTTTTTATATTTTTTTAGATACACTTTATTTAAATATACTTAAAAAGTAAAAATTTGTGAAAAAATATTTTAAAAAAATAATAATTACATAAAAATACAAAAAATATACTGAATTCTTATATTTTTAGTATTTAGTGAATTTTTAAAAGATTTTTTTTTATAATTTTTTTACTTTTCAGGTGTATTTATGTTAGGTGTGTCTAAAAAGTAAAAAAATTGCTTAAAATATTTAAAAAATTCAGTAAAAACAAAAAAAATAGGAAAAATAAGGAAGTAAAATTTTTTAAAAACTGTTTTTAAAAAAATGAAAACAGGCAATTACGGAAATGCCCTTTCCTGGAATCTTTTAAAATTTATGATGACTTATTAGTGAAGATAGTGAAATTATTAACATCATATGATGTTGCCAATTAATGCATATTTGTATGGAATATTGAAAATGAGACTTGAAAGAGTTATTAATAAAAGGAAAGTCATTTTAACACTTTTAAAAACATATTTAGAAAAATTTTAGTTACATTTAGTAGAGTTTTAAAATTATAATTTGATAATATAGTTGTATTTTGAATTTATGAGTTTTGAAATTATGATTTGAGTGTAGAAAATTTGTTTGGTTATGAATTTTAAAAGGAGTTTTGAATTGAGTGATGTGAAATATAATATTTGATTAAAAAATTTACAACTCATAACCAAACACACAATCCAAAATTCTATTCAAAACTCATAAATTTTTTTTAAAAATTTCCAAAATATTTTTTTATTTAAAATATAAAAATAACAAGTGCAAAAAAAAAAGAAAAAAAGAAGAAGAAGAAACAGAACACTATTCCGGTCAACTGGCCCGACATCCGAGTGGATGACCGGATAGACGTGTTTTGAAAAATGGGTGTAGAATCAATTTTTGAAAACAGTAAACAAATACCATATTGAAACCAAATGGTAGAATCACACTTTGAAAATCTAATCAAACACAATCTTAGTCTTTTTAGAGCCAATGAAAAAGGCTGGAAAGATCTGTATAGTTTCGTTTGATCTATAGCTTTTAGGTTAAAATAGTTACAAAAAAACAAAATAAGATAAAAAAACCAATAAGACAAAACATTACATCCAAACCATAATTATTTCATTTTTTCTCTCACAAAAGTCAAAAAATCTATCCCAAATAAAGCTTTTTAGCCTTAAGCTAAAAAAATAAAAAAAACTAACCCATATCCCAAACGAATGCTAAGTGCTGAAAGTACATCAGAATATTACTTCCTCAAAGATAGGGGATGTGAGATCTAATGAAAAATAATCTTTTTATAAATGGAATCACTCGAGCTAATTGAATCTACCTAGTCAAAATAACAGGATGTGAAAGGCTTTTAAGGTTTGGTGTGCGACTGTAGTATGGCTGATATAAAGTAATGTTTTAACACACACCAAGATATTAGAGACTATTTGGCTTCAGCCTTCATTGTACATAAAAGAGAGAAAAAAGAAAAAGAAAAAATACATTATTTAACGAGTCTGGATCCTCGGCCGCACTTTCTTGCAGCCCTCTTTGTCGCGCGTAGCCCCTCTAAAAGAGACGAACAGAGCTAAACAAATCATCGAACAAGAGAGGCATCGAACGGGAGAGGCGACGAACGCGATACGGAGAGAGAAGAAGACAGAGAGGTGGCGGTGAGGCGAGTGGAGGGGGCGAGAGACGAACACAGATTTGGTGTTGATTTGTTGAGGTTTGACAAGGTTCATTTCATCTCTCTCTCAACTTCTTCTTTGATTCATCCAAAGAGAGCCTTTAAACTACCTAGACCTAATACAGATTGCCTTGCATTTCTCTCCAGAAATCCAATCCTTTGCCTGTCTAGTCAGTGCTCTCTCTCTCTCTCCCTTAGTTTGTGATAATTTGCTTGTAAATTTTAGTTTTGTTTGTGCATTTATTTGTGGGTATTAGTGTTGCAAAAGAGGTGTTTAAGATTTGTCATGGTTTGAATTTTGTGGGCTGTTTTTGGGTTTACTTCTGTTGATATCATCAGTTAATTTGTTGGGTATTTTTGGGTACTAGGTTTACTTCTGTTGAATTTTATGAGCTGCCTTTGGGTTTGCTTCTGTTGGGTAGTGTTGGGTAATGGGTTGAATTTTATGGTTTCATTTATGGTTTAAATTGATTTCAACTACAGTTTCCATATCCTATCTCTATTTCTCCATTTCATTTAGTGATTTCAATTAATTTGTGAAATTATGGTTTCTAGTTTTTTAATTTTTTTTAATAATAATTTTTGGAAAATTTTTGCAGTCCTGGGTTTGAAATATAGGGGTAAATATAGGTTTAAATTGATTTCAACTGGAATTTTGCTATTCTCTCACTTTGTACCCATTTAGTTTATCTTTCTTTGTGAATTTTTGTATCATCGGTGCACTTGTGTGATATTAGTTCTTCAAAAGAAGTACCTAAGATTAATCATGGTTTGAGTTTCATGTGGTGCTTTTGGGTTTTCTTCTGTTAATGTTTGTTAATTTGTGAAATTTTGGCTATTGGGTTATCTAATTTGTGAAATTTCTTCTGTTAATGTTTGGTAATTCTATCCATTTTTTCATTGAATGGAATGATTTGTTGAGGTTTGCCGAGTCGAGTCAGTTTGTTCCTCCATTGAGCTATAATTTCTTCTGTTAATGTTTTTTAATTCTATCCATTTTTTCATTGAATGGAATGATTTGTTAAGATTTGCTGAGTTGAGTCAGTTTGTCCCTCCATTGAGCTATAATTTCTTCTATTAATGTTTGGTAATTCTATCCATTTTTTCATTAAATAGAATGAGTTGTTGAGGTTTGCTGAGTTGAGTCAGTTTGTCCCTCTATTGAGCTGTAATAGACAACAAAAATACATGTTATGCCCAATTCCTCTTGGACCTGAGTTGAGTCAGTTTGTCCCTCCATTGAGCTGTAATAGACAACAAAAATACCAAGACTCAAGAACTACAATAGTAGTAAAACAACTATTATACTGGGTAAGGAAAATGAGGCTATTTGGACTCCAATGTTTAAATTATAATTCCATGGTAATAGTATACCTGCATCTTTGTATCATTCCTCAATAGCAGCAATTAGCATATTGTTGTTGTTCAGCATATTGTGCACAAGATCAAACTCCTTTGTTTCGATGCATGGCTGCCCACTAGGCCTGGAACACAACACCATGCATTACTTCAAGCGATTTATATTTGCTCATAAAGATAGATAATTATTGTGGTCATAACTCTTTAATTTTTTACATGCTTAATTAGCTGCCTAGATTAAGGTTCTATGGTTACATCTGAAATTGAATTTATTGTTTACTTGTAATTAGAATTAACATGTCAATGAGTTCGAACAATGATGCTGGATTCTTGCAAAATAAAAGATGCAAATGTGGGAAAAAAACAAGAGTGTACATATCAGAATCAGAAAAAAATCCAAGGAGGTTGTATTTCAAGTGTGCAGATAAGATTTGTGACTACTTTACGTGGGGAATGGCTCCTACTGGGAATGCATCAAATATCCAAAGGAGAAGTAAAGCTATTCATATAAAGAATGAAGATGAGAGCGGGTATGATTTTGATTTTGAGAGAAACAATGAAGTTTTAAATATCTTGGAACGACTTGAGGCAAACCAACGAAAACGACTTGAAGCTATGAAATTCCTGATGTTGACAACCATAGTGATGGTTGGTTTTACCATGCTAGTGGTGTTGCTAAAATGAATGTAACAATTTCTACTGAATGTAACCACTGCTTGTAGAACTTGTATTTGGTTTTGAAGCTTTTATATGTGCATGTAAAATCCAAACAATGCTTAATTAATGAAGTTACTACGCTATGTTAATTGTGTTAATTAATGAAATTGGGTGTTATGTATATTCACAATTATAACAAAATTGTTTTCGCTTGTAAAGACCAATAACGATTTAGATGACCCATTTAAAATAAATTTTACCAATTTAATTATATATATATATATATATATATGTGTAGACACCCCATTTTTGACCGTCCTCAAGACTTGGACGTCACCGTTTGAACACTCGGTGATCATCCATGTTTGTGTTCGTTTGGAGTTCCCGGAGGCCTCGGCTCGCGTGCCTTGCCTCAGGATCTCCGAACTCGACCGTTTAGTGTCTGGTTTTGCACCAAACACTTGCATCTTGCCCTTGAGAGGCAGGGTGGGGCTTGTAGACCATCCCCACCCACCACCGGCATTGGCTAGAGGCCACCAGCTGGTTTTTGCTGCCACCGGCAATATAGTTTGCCGACCGGCACTCTTTGTTGCCGGTCAGCACTCTTTGTTGCCGACCGGCACTCTTTTTGGCCAAGATGGCATTTTTGGCCGGCCGATTACTGTGCATCTTCTTTTGCAGATATTTTAAGACAGCTGTCTTGCTTTTGCTCCCCTCCATACACGTGTATGGAGGGATCTCCCTCTTATGAAGCTTGTCTTGTAAGCTTTACAAGACAAGAAGTTTCTATATAGAGAGGAGAGGGTCTCTTGGCTTGAGAGGTTAGAGAGTTTAGATATTTTGAGAGCAAAAACA